TCTCTCTCTCTCTCTCTCTCTCTCTCTCTCTCTCTCTCTCTCTCTCTCTCTCTCTCTCTCTCTCTCTCTCTCTCTCTCTCTCTCTCTCCGGCCCCTTAGCATATGAATATGCCTGGTTGTTCTCACGACCAGGTTCATTCAATGCCACAAAGACAACGAGTTTGGCCAGAAGAGGATCACGGCAGCAATCCCACTCGCAATGGCTCAAATATCACTTTGAGCATGATGGAGAGCTCGATCACGAAGACTATTACCTTGAAAATCTTGCTAACAATGAGGACGACGAAGACACGCTGGTGGCAAATACGATGGTTTAGCCGAGGCGTGCAACCATGGGCAGCACCCCATTATTTATCAGAAAATGCAATATTAAGGACGAATCTTCTGCTAAATCATGATAGATATATCGTCAKATCGCAATGCCAAGTAAATCTCTCATCCTCTATCTCTCTCTGCCGCCTCAGACTCATGAATACACATGGCCAACAGGTATGTTCCCAACCGACAACTGTTCTCACGCTGCTACCATCTACCGTAGGTGCAACACTCCTTCCAAAAGGTAAGTCTCCACCCACAGCTATCGAAGGTGATGCCGCTGCTGATGAAAGTAGCCACGATCCCGCCGCTGATGATGTAGTGCTCGATGGAGACGGCCTCAATCTCGCTGGTGAGGATGACTATTCGATCGATGAAGATGGCTTCGCTCAACGTCCCTCTCTCCCTCTACGCACATCTACCTCGCCGTTATGCAGACTCTCATTTGCACAAAAGACAAAATGTGAATGAACCTACCACTAGAAAATGGAAAGATTCACTTCAATATTTGAAAATTCCCTGCCCAGCCCTTTCTGCCTGTACTGCCAAAACAATTGCACCAAACCCAATTCTACTGTAACCATTACATTCAGAACATAACAAAACCCCTAGTTAGCATCTTAGTTTACTAAAAATGGTAATGGTTAGGTCGAGATACGTCAATTTTCACTCTTCTTCTTTTTCTCGCCACCTCTCCCGACTCCTTCGCGCACTCTCTTTTGCTACTAGGTCTCCATCCACTCCTCTAATGCCCAAACTAACATAGCCATCACCTTCGCCTTGTCTCAAAACCTTGTTTTTGAGTTCTCCCTTGCTTGAATCCGTTGAGAGATGAGTGAACCATGCAACTTTCACTCCCGCTCTTTCCTTTCTTCTCCCTCCTGGACTCATCCGCGCATGACTTTTCCTCCTATCTCCTCTTCTACTAGTTTTCCAGTCCATGTAATTGCAGACCCGGATTCGCCTTTCCCCAAACCCTCAGTATTCACCCACGCCTTGCCCTGTTTCGTCAAGAACTGGGCAAAATATGACTTTTTTTACCTTTCATGTTCGTCATCTTCCTTGTTTTCATCAACGCACTTCTCTCTCTCCCTTGGCGCAGTCCCTGCAGGCTAAAGGCAAAAACAACTCCTGCTACTCTGCAGAAAAAAGTTTTGAAGGGACCTCACTACTACTGGTCCAACTAGTCTCCCGCCCTTGTGTTGAGGTTCAACGAACGATCTGTATGTCGGATCCTGGCGTGCCTTTGTCATAATATCATTCTGGCTGTGTCTCTCCCCGGCACTATCCAACACTTTTTTTTTTTTTTTTTTTTTTTTTTTTCTCACTAAGCTGACCGGCCCCGGGTAATTCAGAAATGGTTAGTCTTACAAGCCTTACTCATCTCACCCCATCATCTGGATTCGAACAAAGGTCTGTATTTTCAACAGTTCCTGGGTATGCTAACTGGGCTTGCTTAGGTGCTCATCCCATAGGACTATTTTCCAACAGTCCGCGGAGGTACCAACCTGCGCTAGGCCTAGTGGCTGTGCTCCCACAAACCTCTTTTCAACTGTTCATGGGTGTACCAGATGAGCTATGCCCACGGGTGCTGGTCCCACAGGCCTGCTTTTCAACAGCCTGCGGGTGTACCAGCTGAGCTTGACCTACGGGTGCTGGTCCCACAGGCCTGTTTTTCAACAACCTGCGGGGGTACCGGCTGTACTTGGCCCACGGATGCAGGTCCCACAGACATGTTTTTCAACAGCCTGCGGGGTGTACCAGCTGAACTTGGCCCACGGATGCAGGTCCCACAGGCCTGTTCACACTCGCACTCCTCACAGCCATTCGTGGTTGGTGGATGGTGCACTTACAGGAGATCCCTGCCACTCAGGATCCCGCTGCTTCGAGGGCGTTGCACCCTTAGGCACACCTGCACATTGTCCCCGTTGGTCTGCGCTTTCAAGACGGGGAGGATAGAGGAATCTCATCAGCATCCCGAACATGCAAGAACCCGAACGGGCGCGAAAAAGAGGCGGGTGCTCAGGGCTCTCGACTGTCGTGACTGTTATCCGTGTGGGGGGGTTTCAATTGTTCGCAACCGCAATGCCGACCACTGCAGCCCCCGTCGGCATGCACTCCACACCCATCAAGGAGGGTGGTGATGCAGTCGCCGTCCACACCCGTGGAGGTGGGGGTACACGACTTCCTCCATCCACTCCTCGATCGACAATTTTAAACACCCTTTCGACTTTATTTTTTATAAGTTTTTTTCATCCCTCCTCGCGATACTTCCTCGCCGTCGGTCCCGGAGCCATTTTCCGACCTGGTCAATGGACGGAAAAACGGAGAAAAATAAAAATAAAAATAAATATAAATCAACAAAATAAAATTAAAAATAATAGAATTGAAAAGGACTAGGATCTGCCGACGCCCTCTTGGTCTTGCCAGTCGAACCCAGGTTTGGGCCCGTCCGACAAAACCAAGGGGGATAGTCACTTAAGACCCTGAACCCCTCAGTCTCTGCCGATCGCGCTCCTTTGCTTGATTGTCGCTTGCTGACCTCGAACCCCAAACCTACCGCTTGAAAGTCCCATATCGTAACCGTTAGGGCGAAGCCCACGTCTGAACTAGGTAGGCGCGAACTCGCATATGAATAGTTCGCGAGACCGTAATTGGTCCCGCCTGCACAAACCACGTCTCCGATCTGGCCTACCGGCCAACCTTTTAGCCGTCAGAAGACGCCGGGACACCACCCGCGCCTAGGATCGTGGCTACTTGGTAAGCTGGTCGTCGAGCGTTCGACATGTTCTGTGAAGCTTTCGACTTCCCCCCCATACCAGGTTTGCCAACGCCGCGCCCTTCCATGCATCGCCAAACACATTTTTCCTGCGTGTGCTCAAGGCAGCGTCTTCATCTTCTTTGTGACGTACCCGTGAAAGGCTGAGCCGGCTCGTAGAGTGAAGTTAATTTTTATAAAAGAAAAGAAAAATATAACCAATTTGAAAACTACAGAGGGGGTAACCGGATCCTATGACTTTGATGTCTTCGGCCGCCCTGATACCGCGAGGACTAACGGTCACTTCGCAGTGGAACACAATAATGTGTGCCCCACATACTCTCAAATTCGGTCGTATTTGACTCGGAGTCTTGCCAAGAGCGAGGCTACCGAGATAAGTGTTCTGACGGGATTTACTTCATCAGCGCATTTCATTAATCAAGGACGCACCCAGTGCGACCTTTAAAAAGGACGGCAAATACCCTTGTAAGGGTGTTTGCTACGACAGTCCTCCCAGACCCCATTAAGCGACGTCCCCGTCGCTTTGGGTAAGGAGTAGATAGTTATGAACGAACACAAAGGTGAATGCATAGACTGAACAGATGGGTAACCAAATCCGTATAATCGAAATGACTCAGCTTGGGGTCTGGTACTCTAGTTCTGCGGCGTCCCTATGGCGAGTAGAAGTTTAACCTGCACCTCCTGTCTGACTCACAGGGATACTTTCGTTATACTACCGCCCTAGGTTAGCTTCAGTGTTCAAATACCAACCCCTTTCGTTTGTCCTAGACGCCTTCCGACTTTCGTTGGGTGCCGTCTGAATCGGGCTGTCAAGTAACCGTCACCTTTGGGCGCGGGTTTTAGGCATGACAGCTGCCCTCTACCTTCGCCTTTTTAGGCTTGGGTGAGATCTGAGTCTGTGCCCTCTCGAGTCGGATTGTCACATCATGTATGGCTCTGTCGACTGTATCAGGACTCAACATCCTCGAGGCTCTTTCACTCGTCGCCTCCTCGTCACATCTCTCAGACCCTGAAGAAAGGGGGTGCATTATGTCGTCCATCGGCCCCAAAATTGGAGCTGGTGTAAGCGGCAGAGTCGTCGGCAGTACTGTTGCTGACCCGCTCGTGTCCTCCTGTGGCATGACATCTCGTAGCTCTGAAACTCTCTCTCGCTCGTCATGTCTGCCACCCAATCCTCGCCATGCATCCCTCTGAACCGCCAACTCTGAGGGAGGGACCCAGTCCAAACCTTGTGCCTCTGCCTCTCTCCTCCTCTCGATCTCGTCTGGCTCAAGCATGAGCTTGTCGACGACTGCTGCCTCCTCACATGTCATCCCCATAGCCCCAAGTGGCTCCGATGTCGGCGAGTCTCGCCGTGGATATCCAGTCTCACTCCACCTGGCTCTACCTCATGAGAGACATGTGCCTGTCCAATAGGAATCTGCTGCTCCTCAGTTTTTCTCCCATCGACCACATCTGTTGTGGCCTGACGCCTCGGACTCTCCTCTAGGTCAGTAATCCTCTGCTCGAGCCTCGAGGTGGACTGTCTTGCATGCTCGGCGCCGGTGACAAGATCCCTTACCGTGTCCCTCAGTTCTCTGTTCTCCCGCTCCAGAGCACCGATCCTCTGTACTGCACCCTGAAGCTCCTCTCCTCGTGCAACCTCGGTCTGCGTGAGTCTCCTGACATGCTCCATCACTCCCACCAACTCTCACACTGAGGCATCAGACAACAATCTCGCCTGAAGCCCCTCCTCCGCCTGCGTACGCTCGCCCTCAGGCATAGGCTCCTCTCCTGTCTGTCTCCTCATCCTAACCTTCTCCTGCCATTTGGCTGTGGTCGCATCCTCATAGAAGCGTCTCTGTGTCTGCTCCTCAGTCTCTCACCGTAACCTGACAAGAGTCGATACCTGGCTCTCCAACTGAGATGATCGCACGGTCTCAAGGACAACCCTGCGCTCGAGCCTATCTCTATCTGTCGCTGGCTCATACTCCCTGAGCACCCACTGAACCTGGGCTCGCCAATCACTCGCCTCTCTCTCCTGAATCCTGAGGACCGCCTCGGCCTCCTCTAGAGTCTGGACCTCCTTCCCCTCAACAAATGTACGGAGATCACTCACCACCTCTCTCAGTGCATCGTGCTCCATCTGTCTGTCGCAACTCAACTCAAAGGATCGGATGGCAACTCTCCTCGTGTAATCCCGAACCTGCTCTATCGCCTGTCAAGCTGCTACGAGGCCACTACCAATATAGTTCCTCTGCAAGGTTAAGTCGTTATACAGTACCCTGAGCCCACCAGTGGTCTGATCAACCGACAAGTGTGGTCTTGCGACCTGGCCAGTCGCTCAAAAGCCAGCCAGCCTGGAAAAAGTAATGATGGCATCCAATCCCATCTCCTCGGCTAGCTATGCATCCCTCCTGACAGGCTCGTGACCTATTGGCCCCCGAGACTCCGGCAAGCTCTCCTCCTCATGAGTCGGAGATGCGTCCTGGGTATGCTCCGTGCCTGCCTCAATGTGCTCCCTCATACTGGCCTTAGCCTGATCACCATCTCGTCGTGGAATATCCCCAAAGTCTAGTGGTGACGTCTCCACTCGCTGGGTCTCCATGCCCTCCGTGAGACCCTCTCTATCTAGCCCCAAAACCTCGGCCTCAACTCGCTCTGTCTCCATGTCCATGGGCGAGGGCTGGGATACCTCCTGTCGCATTTGCCTCCTAGGAGACTCCATGTCATATAGTTGGGCAGTCAATGAACCCTCAGGCTCAGTTGGCTGCTCAGCCAATTGACTCTTACTCAGTAACGACGATCCGTCCAATGATGAGGGTCTCATTGCACCTCTCTGATCATCCTCCACTGCCGGCTCTGACCGAGACTGGACCCTCAGGCGATAGAGCTCATCATGCATCGGCGTCGTCTCTCGCGGCCACTCAGGCTGAGGCTCCTCGTGCTCCTGCATCGGTCCTATAGTGGCAGGCCCTATCATAAGCGGTAGCTCCCTTTGTGGGAGATATAGTGCCATGTCCCGTGTGTCTCTCCATCGATAAGGTCTCTCCGATGCAGTATCGGGAACCACTCCCTCCATGGTATCTGTCTCTGTAGGCCGGACCGAAGCAATTGTCAACACAAGCTGCAGGGAAGCCTCCTCCCCATCCCGTATGGGTGTAGGTGGAGTAGTCCGATCTGTCTCAGGCGCACCACGGTCTCTAATCCCTATCTCAGCCGGACATGTCTCTGGCGGTGGCACTGTCCCAATCTCTGGAGTAGATAAGACACTCTGTCTCTGAGACCCTACTAACAAGACCTCCTCCCCCACATCACATGTCGGGAGGGTCCTCCCAATATCAACCGTCAACACGTGATCACTCTCCTCTAGGCCATCCCCTCTATCCTGACGTCCTCGACGTCTGCCTGTCCTCGGTCTCCGTGGGATCTCTAGCTGCTCACTCTCTCTCTGCTGTTGTCGCAATCACCTCTCATCACCCTCATCCCTCTCTAGCTGTGCTCGCGGGTGCATCCTGAGCTCCGGGATGTAATCCTCAACCTCTCTGTGCAGCCCGCGTCGTCTGTCAATGGTGAACGCCTCTCTAAGCGTCGCTATAAGCTCCGCCTAAGTCTGCGCTGTGTGTGACATGGTACTCACCTCATGTCTAAGATCCGGGACAACCCAGTGCCGTACCTGCCTAACCCTCTGCGCCTCGGTCCATCTCTGCCCATCCCCAAAAATGACGAAAATCCCCAAAAATGACGAAAATCTCCAGGAACTCATCCAGGTTAGCCCCGTCAAACCGCATGGGCCTACCCTGTCGATCAATGGGCTGAGGCCGCAATCTCAGCATCCGTCTGGCGAACTGCCTCCAATCCAATGACTCTCTCACGATTTGAGCCACACGATCCTCATAGTTGCCCGTACCCCAGACCCTCTCAGTCATCTGAGCAAAATCTAACTGAAGGATCCAAACCTGCCTAACTAACCCGTCAAAAAATTAAAATACATGTCCACCCCCGTAACGGAATGGGTCCAGTATCAAAGACGTGGTTAGTCGCTCATCCTCTTGTCCCGCCATCCTCCCGCCACTCCAAATAATGACCAACTTCGAAAAACCAACCCTGCACAAATAAGAAGGACGGACGATAGAGGAAACAGAAGTAAGCACAGGAGAGGAATGAGGAATACCTATACTGACTGACCCAAGCAGATCTCTCATACCCTCAGACGACTGACCTGACTCATGAACTAAACTCATACTAAGACTTATCTACATACTAACATACAATCCTATTGTATCACTAATGCGGAGTATCACTTAACAAGACGAGGAATCAGGTACTATTCCTACTCGCGGTGTTCTTCTGTCACTCTTACCTTAGTCTCGAGCCTTTAACTTTTTCAGTTTCGACCCCGAGACCCAATCTCTCCACGGCGTGCCGTTAAGTTCTTCAATCTCATAAGCTCCGTGCTGCCCACACCGTCTAATGCGATATGGGCCTAACCACCGCTTGTCCAACTTGCGCGACCACTGTTTCTCTAGCGATGAGTCATAGAGCAACACCACGTCTCCGACTTCCAATGACTCCTTCCTGACTCGTGGAAGGAGATCCCACCTCTCCTTGTCCTCTAGTCGACTGTCCGATACTCGATCTGCGGCTTCCTGGATCCTCTGGTATGCAATGCCAACTTGTCCGGCCCGCAAATCCAGCAATTCCTTGAAGGACAAGGTGCTTTCCATATCCTGCCTCCTCCATGTCTTCAGAAAACTCTCTATCGGGAGGGTGGCATGCCTTCCATAGCATAGCGTTGCTGGCTCGTACTTCGTGGATCTCTTAATTGTAATATTTTCGACGAAGAATGTTGCGCGCAGATGCTTAGGCCACTGATTCTCCCTGTCGTTCGTCCATTTCGCCAGTAGATTCGTGATGGTGGTATGCCCTCTCTCAACTAGAGCATTTGTCTGCGGATGTGCCCTAGTCGTGTAGCTGGCTTGTACGCCATATTCTTGCAACAAGGTTCGCACTTCTCCACAAGTGAACTCTGACTCCCTATCCATCACGAATTCCACTACGAAAGGATATCTCAGGAAATACTCGGAGATGCACAAAGCCAATGTTTTGCCCGTCTTACTGAGAATGACTCGCCCATCAACAAACCCCGTAAGATTGTCCCGCACGTCGAAGATATAATTCTAGCCGCCCACTCCTTGAGGCATTGCCAGTAGGTCCAGATGGACCACTGCTCCTGCATCTCGCACAATCCGCGGATGCAATGGCTCTTTATACATAGTCGATGCCCTTATTTGACATGGAACGACCACCTGCGGGCCCATCATGAAGTGCAGCTATAACGACTATCTGACGATTTCGGCCGTATATCACCCTCCTCGGGTTGTTAACCTCGTTTTTGATGAAAAGGTGTCCATCCCGGACTAAAAACCGAGGTCGCATCTCGAGTACCTCCTTAGTTGCTTCTCTCTCTCTGATCTCACATGAGAGAAGCAAACCTAGTTCACGGTAGACGCCTTCGTACTCATCTGCGCGAAAAGCCTCCGTTATCTCTCTTTCCTCAAACTCGTCTTCTTCCATATCTCTAACAGGGTCTTGACTCCCTTCTCCATCCTCGTGCACTTGGACAATTGAGTTGACGAGGAAACTGACATCTGCCATATACCTTGCTTGAGCGTCGACTGAGTAAGCGCCACTTTCTATGGCCATCGGATCTTCTCCTACTCGGAAGGTCTCTGCCAATGCCAACTTAGCCATCCACTCAACATTCTTCCCTCCCCAAGGATTCTCTTCCACGAAGTTATTGAGGACTATATCTGCTCGGTTCACGTACCCTGCAGGAGCAAGAAAAGTAGATTGTCCTTGCACAATGACTCCACTGATCCCAATGACATGTGCATTGATATGGAGTTTCACGTCCTCCTCCTCATCAAGGAATGCATCCACCGGAGGTATATCCTCATTAACTCCATCGCAGAACTTATCCCAATTGATCCGACTAAGTCCGTTAGCCCGGTTCTTATTCCCAGGTATGCGTTCCAACTCAAAGTCAAACATCCACACATACGTGAGCCATCTGGCAATAGTTGGGTCTGACGGTGCGTAGTTCTTTAATGAACTGACCAATGTGGTCGGATCGACTCTCAGCACAAACCTCCTTCCGAAAAGGTAGTTGCGGAACACCCTTAGACAGTGGAGAACTGCGAGTGTCTCCCGCTTGAACTGTGAGTAGTTTCTCTCAGTGCCATTCAAGGTTCGACTCTCGAACCTCAAAAGCCTCTCCTCGCCATTTGCATCAACTTGGATCAGAATGCCGCCCAGAGCTGTAGGCCCTGCATCCGTCTCTACGATGAAAGGATGTTTTGGCGTTGCTTCGAAGTCAGGAACTCCCAACACCAGACCACCTTCTTTGAACTTCCTTTTCAAACTACTTACAACTCCTTCCTGCTTCTCATCCCATTCTCATTGCTGATCCTTCCTGACAAGCTTCCTCAACTGCTCTGTCTTCTCAGCGAAGTTCTTGATGAAAACTCGCCAAAAGCCACATGTCCCCGGGAAGCTACGAATTTCACTAACAGATTCGAATGACACCGGCCATTCGAGTATCTTTTTAGTTTTCTTGATGTCAGGGCGACGACTGCTCTCATTACATACGAAGCCTAATATGGTTGACTCTCGCATACAATGTTTCGACTTCTGTCCGCTCGTGGTAAGGTTGTAATCCCTCAGAATGTCAAGAATCCAAGCAATATCTTGTATATGATCCCAGACAAATTTCCTTACCCCAGGCATAACTTTCGTCTCATCCTTCCTCTTTTGCCCTTTCATGGCCAAATCGTCAATGTATGGTTGCGTAAGATATGGACTAACCGTCTGCATAACGCGAACCATATGTCTCTGCACCATCGCCACAACATTCGTCCACCCTTGTGGCGCCACGTTCATATGGATTAGTCCTCTTGGTGTATGCATCGCAGTCATAGGTCTATCAGGTGGATACACCGGGAACTAATCGTACCCCGAGTACAGGTCTATCAAGGAAATGATAGGCCTGCCAGCACAAGATTCTGACAGTGCATCTGCGTTCGGCAAACCTCCCGCATCTCGTATCGTTACCGCATTCAGGCGTTGAAGGTCCTGCACCCACCTAAGGGTACCGTTCGGCTTGATAAAGCAGAACCATGGTGATGCGTAAGGCCCACTTCATGAGAATGAATCTTGTTATCCAAGTAGTCGACTACTCTCCGTTCCTCTGTCGGATTAGGATAGCGTGGCCCTCGCAAATTCCATGGTACAGGAGGCACACTGTGGATCCGAATCATCGGAACTTTATCCACATCAAGGCGCCTGCGCTCATCGTCAAACGCATATGCGCGATGCCGCTCCTTCATTACCGCTACCATAAGGACCTTCTCTTGTGGAGTGGGGAATCCTGGCTCTCCTATTATCAGGTCTCCCTCAGTCCTCTCATTGATACGACACGGCCCATGTTCTGCATCCTCCTTCATTTGCCATATCAATTCACATTCCTGCTCATAGTAGAACTCTTCTTCCGCAGTTATGAGGACAGAAACGGGATGACTCTTCTCAATCACGCGTTTGTACCTCCTTTTGGAGCCCTTCTTAAGCCCACCCCTAAAAAAGGCTGGCTTGTAGCACGACTCTGAGGTACCCCCGGCTTACTTGTCCTTGCCGGTAATCGATATACGAGCTCCACTTCTCCCTCGCCGGAATCTTCCACTATTCTTTCTCTCAAAGCCTCTACGGCAATGGGATCCGTCATCCCATATGACGACACTATCTCCATAGCATCGTTGATGCTGGTTAGGCTTAAGCACATCTCGCTAGTAGGCTCACATTCCTCTTCGTCTTCACCCATTAATCTCCTCCTCTCCCCTTCAGATTCCTCAAAGGTACAGGAACCTGGGTTCGGCCTATTCTTCAAGCTACAGGGTCCTGTATTGTGACAGGCGATAATCTCATAGTTGCCGCAAACTGGATCACTTAGGATGACGTACATTGTGTCGTCATGCTTGCTAAGTATCATTGATTCAGTGCGGTAAAGGAATGACCTTCCCAGCAGGAGAGGATGGTCCAAATCGGGCATAACGAAGAAGCAGGATCGCACCTTCACTTTCCCGATTTCAATCACCACATTCGATGTCGTCCCAGTAAAAGGAGTCTTCCCACTTGTGCCATAGAGGAATCCTGAGTCCATTCGATCGATGTCCATCCCCAAGCGGAGTGCGTCAGATTCCTTGATGATATTCATCTCCGCTCCTGTATCCAGCATTCCGCTACACGGCTTACCCTTTATACTCAGGTTCACACTCCCAGTCCCGACCGATTTCCAATCCATTTTCGTCCCAGGAACCGCCCAATGAGCCTCGGCAGGGATGAGACCTCCTAGTCGCACGCTCGCCATCCTTCGACGAGAGAGTCACGTTTTGAATCCTTCCCTAAGCTTAGGCGCAGAGGCGAGGATATCCTTTAAGTTAAGCAGGTCATTATGCCCTTCCAGAAGCCTATCAACCAAGGCTTCAATATCCAGGCCATCTTCCAATGGTACTGCATATTTTTGCTTTCGCGAGCCTTCTCCTTTTGCCGCTTTTTCTGACCTATCTTCCGGCTTCCTCTTCTTTGTACGTTGAGCAACTTGTTCTTCATCTTCCTTCCTTAGTCGCTCATCTTCCTCATCCTCTTTGCCTTCATCCCCCACATTGATAACTGGCTCCTTCTCATGCGGTTGACTTTCGTTTGGAGGTTCCTGACTGCTACTGGGATATCCTTTCTTACTCCTCGTGCATACAGCTTGCGGGAATGTGGGTTGCCCTCGAGGAGGTCAGAATGTAATGTCTGATCGCGAGGTTGATCCCAAGGTCTGACAAGCCGGTTAGACACTCGATGACCCTATTTCTGAGCCTAGTAAGTAAACCATTGGCTTCGCCACCTCGTCGCAAATGAACCTCATTTTCAAATTCAACCTCTGCATCTTCTCCACGAGGTCTTCCATTCGTTCCATGGTATCTATGGCCCTTCCTTGGCAATACGATTCTTCTTCCTCCTCCTCTTCTATCACGACTGACTTTTCCCTCCTGATGTCCTCTTCGGACTCACTATTGGCTAGTTCCTCCACTTTATCGTTGACCTGACATCTTCCTCTTGCCAGAGTCGGAACATGGTCGGTGGTGGCAGACCTAGTTCGGCTCGTTGAAGCGCCTCCTTGCGCATACCACCTGCAATCTTAGCGTCAATATATTTCTCATGCATATCATAGACATCTCCGTCCATGTTCGTCGAGATAAGGCCATTTCCCTCATCTACTTTCCGAATTTGGCAAAACCTGAAGGTATGCCCTTTTAGTGCGCAATGATGGCAAATGACATTTCTCCAATCGAACCTTGGCCTATCATTCCCGCCTTGCCCATTCCAATTGACTCCACGTCCGCCTCCTTGACCGCTTTGTCCACCATTATCGTTACCCCGTCCGCGGCCTCCATTGCCTCGACCCTGATTGCTCTGCCCGTTACCTCCCTGGTTATGACCTTGTCCTTGACCCGCTGCTTGACTGGGTTGGTTGACTTGTGGCGGAGGTGTCGGCTGCTGCTGTTGGGCCCCCCCTTGCCAGTTCACTCCTTGAGTTGGGACACTGGGGTACCCTCCTGCAGCATTCGCAGTCGGTCCTCCCGCAGGCGGCCCTGCTTGGTTGTAAAACGGCCATGGGCCATATGGACTATACCCCGGCCAAACAGGAGGAATGGCCCCTGGCCAGGGTCCAAGCTGCGCTGGTCCTTGTGGTGGTGCGCCACTTGTACTCGCCTGATTTGCGTTTACTTGGGCCGCCGCAGCGACCTGTACTCCTGCATTCTTCCCAGAACGTTTGCCACCTGCGGCCTGGTTCCGCGCCTTCCTCTGACTTTTCGTTAGCTTTACCGGTTCTTCCTCTTCATCGTCATCATCGTCTTCCACCTGCTCAACCACCTTCTTTGCAGCTTTTGCTTGAGGCCGAGTCACTGTCAAAACCCGATTCCCAGCCGCTTTCTATTGGTCGACTTGATACTTGGTTATTCCATCCGCAATAAGTTGTTGAAGGTTGATACCTGCTCCTTCACTGACAACTCGAGCCATTCGCTTCTGCCGTTGTTGTTTCATCTGAAACTGGTATACCTGGTCCAACTCTCCATCCGCCAAGCTTTGCTTTACTGTCTCCCAAGTCAACTTCCTCCCTATGGTCCCTCTTCTTGTCAGGGAAACGCTTTCACACTCTGTGAAGTTGCTCAAGAAGATAGCGCATTGGGACTCTTCGGCCAACCCTGGCACCTTCCTTGCCATCTTCTCGAACGCTGTCGCGAAGGCGCCTACCGTCGTGAAATCCGACCTCTCTAACCTTTCCAAGTCCTCCGTCGTAAGGAGGCTATCTCCCAACTGGTACCGTCTTTGCATTTCTGCCTTAAAGTTCCCCCATTTTCCTGCGGCCTCAGTTGCTACCCGCATAACTTCCGACCGCATCTCCCACCAGACGTACTTAGAGATTTGGCGAAATTTTTCTTCTTCCGTCATATCGTCAGTAATTTGCTCGAGCAACTCAAGCCACTCTGACACCTTATCTCCTTTGAAGTGGAAGATCTGAACCTTTGGGATGTTGGATCGCGTCACCGCGCGCCCATCCTGTAGAGCAACCAGTTGACCGAACGTAACCGACCGCTGGCCCACGCCATCGGCCTGATGGAGTTCATCGCCCGCCATCTCGTTCTTCGACAATCAGTTCCCTGTCAATATACAACACTTATACATGGTCAACCTAATTACATCAACAAACCCTTATAGCTAGTCCAACCTCAACCTTAAGAGGTTGTGTCCTACTACTAAATTCAAACGTTCGACACTCATACACAAGCATCCACACCTTCATACAATCACACTACGAATTAGTCCACTCCATGCCAAGTCCTAATACTTAGCGTTCCTGATCATGACAGCGAGGCCCCTCTTTGGGCCTGACAAGATTCTTAGGGGCATTCCCTTAGGTCGTAACGGCAATATCAAAGTAAAAAAAACATACAATATCTTTTTCCTAATCAAAAAAAAAAAGTCGTTTTGCCTGGATCATCGTTCTGCACTAAACCCAAGTCCGTTCACTATGGACCTCGGTAGGCAGCCGAGATTCCCCGGCAGCGGCGCCACCTGTCGCGCCCAGGGTCCCCGCTGGGGGAACCTTCCCGGCCGCGGTACGCAATATTGGCAGAAATTTGCAAGTCGCTTCACGAAAAGGGAAGCGGCGGAGCCGCTCCGGCCGAGTGCACCAGCTATACCTCCATCGAGTCCCTACGACAGGACAGGGTCTCGCGAGGTACAACTTACCTCCACCCGTGGGAGCTGTCACCATCCCTTGGGTGGGCGTATCCCCGCCGAGCTACTGAACCACATGCGAAAGCTTTTACTTGCAATCGTGGAGGTGGCCCAGCCGAGGGCGTTTCTCGTATGATGTAGCATAGGGGGTACGCGCGGTCCACGGCTAGCTCGAACCCGTACGTGAACCGTCACGCTGGGGCACTGATCTCCCACGTGCGGTTCAGCGTCGGTCGACTAGGACATCCTAGCTCAACCACGCGATACATGACAAAACAAAATAATTCAGACAAACAAAATGCCTAGTCCCTTTTTCATACGTTCTAACCCATAACTCTGAACTGCGAATGTGTCTGAGCGAGTCCCGCACTAAGTTGCATAAATAAAATGCAACCGCCGAGGGAACCATAACGCTCAGTCATGTGTGCTCACTTGACCTGCTATCATGGCGACGCTTCATGCGTTACCCACATCCGTGCAACCACTCATCGGTTTCGGGGTTGCGTACGATACTCAAGTATCGAAAGCGAAATATCGTGAAGGGTTCCTCCTTCACGATATTGCACGGTTGAAAGATAAGTCGTTCGGCCCTTGCAGCGCCCCTGTCTTTTAGGCAGTGGGTGATGATAAGCAAGGGGCGCAAGTCCGGCTCAAGGGGGAAACCTTGTTGTGCTGCACCAGAGCCTGGGATGTTCTGGACAAGGGCCTCAAATTCCAGGTTCAGGACCAACGTCCGACTAATAATCTAAAAAAAAACAAGACACCTTTTGAGACGGGGTATGCTCGTCCTTCCCCTGCGGAAGGAAAATACGAGTACTCACGGGTTGGCGAGCGATTCGCCGTACCCAAGCTAACTCTTAGTCCGATCTAAGGTCGAGCGCTAAACCTTGCGCTTAGCTACTCCTGCCTGTTTGCTAGATGTATACGACAGGAGTAAAATAAGAGAAAGAAAAGGGCGAGTCTCGGGGGAAATCAGTGAGAGTCATTCTCACAGCCATAGTTGGACCTTGTCACTCACACCCTTCATTCATTTACCCATATCACCCTTAGTTCAGGAGCGAGCCCTTGCTCCCATACATACATGCACACACATGAAACCCAATGAAGATTCACATCCAAAATGCCACACGTGGTCAACTCCTTTGCTCCCAGGCTCATGTCCCACACGCCCCTTTCCGACCCCATTCAACAAAGGCATATCCGCGTGTCCCGATTCACACAGCTTTTGCATGGCCATTTAAGAGAGGTTCCAAGGATAGGTCTTCTTTCATACGGAAATGTCTTACGCCTACAGGGTCACAGACATCTGGGCGTGGGTATCACAGTGGGTAGGAGTTGAGTCGCAAACCGACCTGCTATCAGGTGATAGCAGAAGTTGATGAAGCTCAAGACTTCGAAGAATACTCGCAGGTAGCAATGACCTGCGTCACAAAGATCAGAATGGGCATCGCCTGTCGAGTTAACGGAGTTCAACTCCGTAATGCACTCTAAGCTACTTAGTAGTAGCGTCCGGTAACGATGTGAAAACCCCGATAATTTCGGCAACACTTCCTTTAGAAAAGTGTGCTCGCAGAATTTTTACTATACCAAATCTAAAAAGAAACTGCAGACTGATAAAATGTCTGAAAATAAACTAACTTTTTGGTTTAAGTAAAAATTTCGGCAGCACTTTCTTTAGAATTGGAGGCTCCTAGAATTCCTACAGGCCTCAAAGACTAAACTATATCCTATCCTCGCTGATATCTCTGAACTTTGACTAACTTTGAGTTTTTAGCAGAAATGTTGGCAGCATCCCTCTTAAGAAACCGAGGCTCCCAGACTTTCTACTAACTGAAAGGTTAGCCAATGCCATACCAAAACAATCATGCATAAGAAGACAAATGCGAAAAACAAAGGTGAGCATCTGCCTGCCTATCGCTCAAGCATAAGGCGAGCACTAACAGACTACCCTATAATGCAGAAATCAGACAAAGCTTGAGCAAAAGACAAGGCATTGCCAACAAGCATGTCAGATCAACAATGCATTCAACGAAATTCAAAACAAGGGTTCGTTTATCCAAGGTTTTTATCTCTCGCTTGTTTTGATCACAAAAATCACAAGTCCTGTATCTTACTTGGTTAATTAACTTTTCGAGTTGTTCTCAGTGAACCCCATGCAATCCGTAACACACTCGCCTCGGCTATCCTCACAAAGAGAATACTCAGACCTTTGTCAATAAGCAAAACCGACTGACTCGTCAAGGCGACCGGATAAGTCTGGAGGACCTCATTTTCATCCCTAGTTCAATGTCTTAGGCAAAACATCAAGGCGACTGGATCAATCTGGAGGACCTCATTTCCAGCCCAGTTCAATGTCTTAGGCAAAACAACACGGCGACCGGATCAGTCTGGAGGACCTCGTTTTCAGCCCCAGTTCAATGTCTTAGGCAAAACAACAAGGCGACCAGATCAGTCTGGAGGACCTCGTTTTCAGCCACAGTTCAATGTCTTTGGCAAAACAGCAAGGCGACCGGATCAGTCTGGAGGATCTCATTTCCAGCCCCAGTTTAATGTCTTAGGCAAAACAGCAAGGCGACTGGATCAGTCTGGAGGACCTCATTTCCAGCCCCAGTTCAATGTCTTAGGCAAAACAGCAAGGCGACC